ACATCAGATCTTCAAGAATAATTCAAAAATCTTTACTGACATTTATTATGTAATGTGATGTAAAGCAAACTGCAAACAGCTGGCCCTGAAAACTCAAAACCATCAAACCTTTGATGGTTTAAAAACACCAAACACCAAAGTAAAGTTCTGTCGAGCAGAACCAACACTAAACAGAGAATTAGAAAATCGATGCACAAAAATATTTTATTTACTTAAAATAAAAACGAAAGCTCGACTTTTGGGAGAACATGAGAACTAAATGTAACAATAAAGTTGAAAATAGGATGAAAACTGTCTTTATTTATTTATTATTTCTATTTTTTGGTCAAATTTGTGACTCAGCAGCTTTCACATGGTGTTCTCTTTGTATTGTAATATCTGCCCCAGTTTATTACCCTCCATATTATAATAATTAAGAAAGGTAAACAAACAGTGAAACTAATAAAAAACCAGCTGAAACGAGTTTGGTGTGCTGAACTCAGACTTACTGTAGACGATGGCGATGATGCCCGCCAGCAGGAGGATACAAAGTATCTCAAAACATGCCAGCAGTAGACGGAGATTGGAGCATGCAGCTGCTTTGCCTTCTGCTTCTAATGAGAAATTTGGCATCATTATTATGGGAAACTGTCACCTGGACTTTTACTGTTGTGTGATGCTGCAGCTCATCCCTTTGCTCGTGTGTCTGTTTTCTTAGGCTTTGTTGTGTTAGCCTCTCAGGACCACTGAGGCGCCAGATGTTCATGTCAGATGTTCTCAAAGACATACAGGTGTGAATACATTTGTTCCACTGTTGGTCTAAAACATTTTGCTGCTAAATTAGTGAAGATAAAAAAGGGATTTTATAACTTACCAGGTGCAGGAGGAGGACCAGCAGGCGCTTTAGATTTAACTTCAGAATAAATGGCCGGGTCCTCGTTTTTTTCTGGAAGACAGAAATAACTAAAAGAATGGACTCATAGAGATGAGTTTGACTACAACACAACCCACAGAATTACAAAATGCGCAGTCA